CAGTCCCAGCTGTATAAATCCAAGTCAAAATAGCTCAAATTATATAGACAGATGCATAGCTGAGCAGAATAGAAGAGAAGGTTTCTGTAAATGAGATGATAAATTCAGGGTGTTGGATGAATGATCCACATGAAACTCAAAGTTTCTGAACATGAGAACAACTCTGGACAGAAAGGAACATAGTGAGTCCCTTGCCAAATCATCAGTGACTAGAAGGGCATGAGTTGAAGATTGATACATGACAGAGATGGGAGGTATCAGAGCGAGACAGAAAAGGAATTTGAACATGAAAGTAGAGGAGAGATGTTCTGGGGCAGTATCAGGATGAGGAGCGATGAGTTCAGTTGGTCATGGTTTTTTTTTTTTTTTTTTTAAAGATTTTATTTATTTGAGAGAGAGAGAGCGCATGAAAGGGGCGAGGGGCAGAGGGAGAAGCCAGCTCCCTGAGGAGCAGAAGGCCTGATGTGGGACTTGATCCTGGGACTCCAGGATCATGACCTGAGCCGAAGGCAGTTGCTTAACCAACTGAGCCACCCAGGTTCCCTGGTCATGGGTTTTGAGTAGAATTCGGAGGTCAAATTCAGAAGTAGGCAGTGTGGACAAACTCTGTGGGTCTGTGGCAGCTGTCTTTGGATGGGACAGGTAAACATGATCTTGGGGGGTGGTAAGGATTATTTCAGATTCAGCTAAGATTGGGCCCTATTAAAGACAGCAGAAATATTGTTCTGAAGCCAATTAGAGGGAGGAAAGGATGGAGGGCTAGTCTGATTAATTGGTTGTCATCTTCCTGACCTCACTAGGCTCTCAGCTCCTGAGAATCCTTATTAATGAACCTGAGGAAAAGGTTACCATCTGGGCCTGCCAATGAAGGGCCTTCCAGAAGTCTGACAGTAATTGGGTGGGTGTGCATTTGGGGTGGTTCTGCTAGGAAAAGAGACCCATGAGCTGGCTAGGGCCATGAGCTGCTTATTTGAATCAGAGCTCTGATACCTTGGGTACTTTTGAGATAATAGTGACGACATCTCCTTGGCATGATATATGAGCTCTCCATGAGTCTCCACGAGACTTACTGCTTCATTGCTCATCACTTTGGGCTTTCTGCTCTAATGATAGCAAACTGCTGTTCTTTGCCCCATTATCTGTGCTCATGCTGTTTCCCCTGCCTAGTAGGCTACACATGCATGTGCTCACACATACACTCACAATCACCTGTCTTAGGCTGATATCTGCTTAGGAATCACCTTCCCCAAGAAGCCTTCCCTGGCTCCCAGGACAGTTAGGTACCTCCTCTCGTGCCCTGCTAATCCCCTCACTTTTCACCATTCCAGCATTTATCACTGTGCTGTCATCAGTGTGTCTGATTCCCACAGTAAACTAGGATCTCCTTGAGGGCAAGAACTCCTGATTCACCTCAGTGTCCTCGTGCATGTTGAGCTGAGCTCTCATGACCCGCACTGAGCACATCCTCTCAAGCACGCCCTCCATGCTCATTCCCAACTCCTTCATTCATCTGTTCATCAACCAACACTCACCAAGCACCTATTCCTCTGGCTAGTGCTGGGGCTCAGATGAATGACATGACCCCTGCTCCGGGAGCTCCTTGTCAAGTGGACTTCTACCATGCTGGGTAACATGTGCTATAGCAGAGGGAAGCACAGAGGGAAATGAAGGGGCTGTATTTAAGCCGAGTCCTAAAGAATGAGAACTTAGTTAGGTGAAGAGTTCTGCTCAATGCTAGCCTTAAAGTCTACCCTCTCCACTAACTTCTGGAAGCCTCCTCCTGCAGCCTCATCCCCTGCCGCACTCTCTCTCCCCTGTATTCCTCTGGTTTGCTGTACCTGGTTAGTAAATGTTACAATGTGTTTGGTCACTGTTCCAACTGAGCGAGACAAGGGGACATAAGGGGTAGAGCCCTGGCTTATGCCCATCTCCGAGTCTAGGTTTTCCTATCTGTACATTACAAATAAATTCTGCCTTGCCCTACCCTGCTCACAAGGTTTTAAAATTATATTTTTGAACTGTTACAGGCTCACCCCATTCCACAGATTAAGAAATAGAGGGTGAGAGAGATTGAACAACTTGCCTGAGGTCACACAGCTAGTAGCTGACAGGAACTATATTCAAATCCAGACTATATGACTCCTGGGCCTCTTCCCACTGCCCACCTATACAACATGACATGTCCTTTCCTTGGTGCCAATTCCTCATAAGGGATTTGTGCCCCTGGCCTTGACTTGTGTCCTCATCTTCATCCATACTGATAGTTAGAGCCTATTTCCTTCTTTACCTGTTTTCCCCTTTCCGAGGCAAGCAACACACTTCCTCCACCTCCCTAAACATTGTCATTTACCAGGAAGTCAATTTTTATGATATTCATTAAGGAAGACATGCTGGGGCAGGGGTTGGTTCTCTGAAGCTGACAGGGTTTCCGTGGCCCAGATAACAAACCAGTAGCCACCTTCTTCTTTATCATGTAACCACAGTTAGGGCGCATTTCTCCTGCTGGCCTTTCTCAGGTTATGAAATGGGCCACAGAGAGGCTGTCAACCAGAGGAGGCCTGGGAGGAGTTGGGAGTGCCTTCAAGCTGAGATGGTGGGGGAAGAAGAACCCTGTCTGTACCTGGGGGCTTCAGCCCTCTCTGTGGACAGTGCACTAATAGGGAGAAGGAGGGAGGAGGAAAGAAGGCCCCTCCTTTGTGGGGAAAGATGATAAAAGAAGAGAAATGGGATGAAGAGGACATGAGAAGAGCAAGGTAAAAGTAGAGAAAAAGCAACTGTCGTTCCAACAGGCAACTCTGGGCAGCAGTTAATCCGTCGTCTCACTCAGTTCTCCCAGTTGCTCTCAGTAGAAAGGTTCTATGGCTATTCCCACTTGACAGCCAAGGAGCCTGAGACTGAGAGGCTAAGTGATTCAGAGAAATAAAGTGACTTGCCCAGATTCAGACACTGTGGTAGTCAAATTAAAGCAAAGGGGGCCAGGGTGCCTGGGTGGCTCAATCAGTTAAGCGTCTGCCTTTGGCTCAGGTCCCAGGTCATGGTCCCAGGGTCTTGGGATTGGGCCCCCCCACCTTGGACTCCCGGCTCAGTGGGGAGTCTGCTTCTCCCTCTTCCTCTTCCTCTGCCCCTCCCCCTGTTTCTGCATGTGCTATCTGTCTCTCTCTAATAAATAAATAAAGTCTTTTAAAAAAAGGGCAAGAGGGGACCAAAGGGACTTGTAAGGAGGGGAAGATATGGTCAAGGAAGGAAGGAAGGAAATTGAAAGGGAGAAAGAAAAAAAAGAAACAGAGCAAGAGAAGTGGGAGACAGGGCTATGTATGGATGTGGAGGCAGCCAAATCCAGATATAAACCCAATTTCCGCTAATGTAACTATGTGACCTTGTGTGAGTTATGTAATCTCTTGGAGGCTTCATTTTCTCATTTATAATTTGAAGATGATTATATTTACCCACAGGCTGTTGTGAGGATGAAGTAAGATAGTATTTCCCAAGCTCCTGGCATAGTGTCTGACATTTAGTAGGTGCTCAACAAATATAAAGAATCCCAAGGAGAAAGTATGAGGAACATAAGGGAAAAGAAGGAGTGACAGGAAAGGGAAGAGAGAAGGTTTTGAGGAGAAAAAAAGATGGGCCTGGAAGGAGAAGAAAGAAGAAGGCAGATGGACAAAAGAGGAGGGAGGAGGCTAGGGTAGGAACATGTAGAGAAGAGCAGCCACCAACCTGGCCAGAATTCCACAGCTGGGAAGCAGCCATGTTGTCTGAATCAAGAAGGTCTTTCTTATTTCTCCCAGGACAGCCAAGCTCTGTTCATTGTCCCAGAAAGTGTCATTCAGGATCATAAGGTACAAAACAGACAAGATATCTCACACTTCAAGCGCAGTCCTCCAGGTGCCTTATGTTGGGTTTGTGTGGAGAAGAAGAGATACAGGGGAATTCTAGGGGGGATCTGTGGAGGAGGAACCTCGTGGAGTGGAGATACGCCAGTGAGTTTGGGATGGAAAGGGCAAATGAAACTTTGCTTGTTCAGTGTGGATCTTGGGGAGCCTTCCAGATCCTAGACTAGAGCTTGCCAAGCTGAGATGAGTGGAAGGCAGGGGAAAGAGGAGGAAAAGCCCTGGTCAAAAAGGTCAAAGCCTGGACTTTGTCAAACACTGACTGGTTCCTCTGTTTATCTTGGGCAAGTTGGCTTGTTTCTCTAAGCCACAGTGTCTGCGTTAGTGAAATGGAGAGGGTCTGCAGAGGAGACATGAGGATTCGATGAAGTAATGGATGTGAGAAATGCATTGGGAGAATGTGAAGGGCTGTGTACACATATTGAAATATTTGCTCTTTCAGAAAACACCTAATGACATCCACTCTGTGTCAGGCACAGCGCTATACACCTGCATTATCTTGTTTAATGAGGTAGGTAAAGTTATCCCCATTTATAAACCAGGGATTTGATTCATAAAGAGAATTAGGTGACTTGCTGGGGGTAACACAGCTGGCCAATGGTAGAACCAGGATCTAGCTGACTCTACAGCCAGTGCAGGTAACCCTTGCCCTGTACCACCTCTTTCTTTGTTTCTCTTTCTTTCTTTCTTTCTTTCTTTCTTTCTTTCTTTCTTTCTTTCTTTCTTTCTTTCTTTCTTTCTTTCTAAATTTTATTTTAATTTTGTTAAACGTTTTATTTATATATTTGAGAGAAAGAGTGAGTGAGAGGCAGAGAGCATGAGCGGGGGAGGGGCAGAAGGAGAGGGAGAAGCAGACTCCCCACTGAGCAGGGAGCCCGACGTGGAGCTCAATTCCAGGACCCCAGGACCATGACCTGAGTTGAAGGCAGATGCTTCCTTGACTGAGCCACCCGGGCACCCCTGTACCATCTCTTTAAAGCAGAATCCTCTGCCATGGAATTAGGCCTCCTTGCTTCACTACTTTGCACCGGCTATATTAATCCGGAGTTTTCTGGCCAGGGGGCATAAAAAGGAGGGAAAAGTCCTTACTGTTATCTCTTCTCTCCCTAGGGTTTGACTTCTTTGAAGCCAGCGCCAAGGAGAACATCAGTGTGAGGCAGGCCTTCGAGCGCCTGGTAGATGCCATTTGTGACAAGATGTCTGATTCGCTGGACACAGACCCCTCCGTGTTGGGCACCTCCAAGAACACCCGTCTCTCAGACACCCCACCACTGCTGCAGCAAAACTGCTCATGTTAGGCAAGGCCCACCCTCCTGATCTCCCCTTCTTGTGACCCCGCACCCACTCTGCTTCCCCTATTACAGTCGGTCCACCCCCAGCCCCATGCAGGCTGAGTTGCTGCTGTCCTTTGTTTGCAGCAGAGGCGGAAACGTGCCCCTTGAGTTCTCTGTAGATAGTCCCACTAATAGACACCCAGTCCTAGACTAAGAGCCAGGTCACAGCATGGGTAGAGATTCATTTTACAAAAGAAGACTCCATCTTACAAAGGGGATTCACTTCAGGGACTTGAAAAGCGAGTCTCTTTTCTGTCTTTAAAATAAGATTTCCTCCATTTACCAGAATTTGACACAGCATACTTTGCAGGGCCCACCTGCACAGCTAATCCTATTAAAGAAAACGTCCTCATACACAACATGCTTGTTTCCTATCAGGCTCCCTGTAGGGCTTCCTCTCACTGCAAGCCAAGCTTTGACTCTCAAAGCCCTATGCCTGTTACCACGGATGCCCACAGGGCCTCGGGCAGTTGCTGTGGTGACAGGCCAGAGCTAATCTCCAGAGAGCTCAGACTCTCTAATGATGCTGAAGGAGCAAAGGCTGAGTCAGAAATATACTTAAAAGAAAAGATTATTCCCTGCAAAATGTCAAAGGTTCCCACTATATAAAAGAGCAGGAGGGTGAGCTCAAGAAAGACAGAAAGAAAAGAGAAACATAGGCAAGATGAAGGAATAGGTCATGACTTTCTGATTTTGCTGTTTTCCAGCTAGTTCTTAACTGTGGGAACTCCATGAAATCGGTCTTTGTTTTTTAGACTCCCAGAATTTGAAATATTTAGAGTTACCTAGTCTAACTAGTCAGTTTCAATCTTCACATCTCTGGAAAGTGGATGCCAGGCCTCACAACCAAATCTCTTTCTTCTTCTTTTCTTTTTTCTTTCTTTCTTTTATTTTTTTAAGAATGTTATTTATTTATTTATTTAGAAAGAAAGAGCGAGCAGGAGGAGCAGATGGGGAGAGAGAGACCCTCCAGCAGACTCCCTGCTGAGCCCGGGGCCCAACTTGAGATTCTGTCCCACAACCCTGAGATCATGACCTGAGTCAGAATCAAGAGACAGTTGCTTAACTGACTGAGCCACCCCAGGCACCCCACCAAATCTCTTTCTTCTAAAACACACCTTCTAGGCAGGGCTGGGAGCTCATTGTCTATACCATCCTTGGACAGCTCTCATAATCAGAAAGTTTTCTTTGCTGTAAGCTGAAATCTGTCCCCTGGAAATTCTTCTTCCTTTCCTCACCCCATTTATCCCAGCTCTGCTGTCAGAGTCCATGCTTCTTCAGCTCCTGTCACCCTCAGATGATTTGAGAAAGAAACCATGACCTCTGCCTTCTCTGAATCAAGTAGTTCTGCCGTTCTTCATAATGTCTTCCTACCATCCTGCCATTTCTTCCAACCCATCTTTTAGTCGCTCCTGAGTAGTTTGACTGGGAAATGTGATTCTAAGCAGGATAAATCTGAGGGGACATGACCCTAACAAAATTGGGAAAGCTGAACTCAGAGGTCCCAATCCCAAACTCATTCTCCTGGGAGTGAAATCTTCATTTCTACTGAAGAGTAGATATGAAACCACTCCTAGTGGAAACTGCTTAACTAAATACCTGAAGGGAAAAACTAAACCAAAATCAAAACCGCAAAACCCTCTGACACCAGAAACAAACCGAATGGATTCCAGTTTGTCTAGACATGGCAGATGTTTGGTTTTTAGCTGAAATAATGAAGTGGAACTAGCAGTGATTCCTGAAAATCTCTCCTTCCAGGCCTGACCCAAATCCCTATCTTCCCCCTGCACTAACACACTACCTCAGAAGTTGGTGAGGGGAGAAGGTGTTGGAAGCGTCTCTTCCAAGTTTTCTCTCCATTTCAAATGCCTCTCATTATCCTAGGAAAGTGCATTGACTCACATAGTTCCAGTGACTACCTAAAAGGACCGTCCAGAGTCAGCCCTATGGAGATGTTGCTTTCTGATACAATGCACAGGATAGAGCTTTGGACGTTGGAATCAGGAATCCTGGACTCTGCCCTTAAATCAAGTGTGACTCTGGATCAGTCACTCCATCTCTGAGTCTTGATTTCCCACCTACAAAATGAGGGGGCTATTTGGGTAATCTTTAAGGTCCCTTCTAGTGCTAATAACTCTCTGACTTTCTTTTTCACCTTCATCATTTCAGTTGATCTGCAGAATAAACCTAAGAGATGAGGATTATCCCCCTAGTGTCATTGTAGCTAACACTGATGTCATGCTTACTGTGTACTAGACATTGTTCCAAGCACTTTACATGTATTAACTTACTTATCATCTCAACATCTTTGTGAAGGAGGCACTATAATCAACCTCACTTAAATATGAGGAAACTAAGGTATAAAAAGATTCTCTAGCTTGCCTAAGGTCACATAATGAGTAAACAGTAGAACAGGGGTTCCAATCCAGGCAGTTGGCTCCAAGGATGATGCTCTTACCACATTCTGTACTACATTTTTCATGAATAAACTGTGACCCAAAAAGGTTAAGAACTTGGTCAAGATGGTACAGCTGGCAAGTATTAGAGCCGTGTTAGAATTTGATCCCAAGGCCATCAGATTCTAAGTCCACTCAAGAAAAGACTTACATCCCTTTGTTAACAAATCGCTCAACTATTCAGACTAATCCAAGGTGATGGATGTCTAATGCTTCTGGGAAGTAGTCAGTCTCTGAGGCAACCAGGTCCTAAGAGACGGAGCAAAAATTGTCCAGCATTTCTCAAGTTCAAGTCCCTGTATCAGCCTTTGTCAGACGGTTCTTACCTAGCCCTCAAGCAGTGCTTTAAGCAGCTCCCTGCTCCAGCAGGGGGGCATTTTGCAGGAATGACTTGGTTGACTTCTTTGACCACGGAAGGATGTGATCCCTTTACAGTCAGTGGTTCTAGATGCGCTTTTTACACTGTCAAGCCTATACAGGTCAGGCATAATTACAATTTTCCTGGGCAGTAACACCCATCTGCTCTAGTCCTTGGATTTCAGACTGAGCTCCTAGTGTCCCTTGGATATTTTAGGACATATATCCAATAATCTTTTGTTTCATATTGGATATCCAGGCAAAGACTGAAATTTTTACTTAAAAATTGTTACATTCTTTACAACTCATGAGCCAGTGTAAGAGAGCAATTTTCTTCACAACAGATAGAATTGAGAGTCAAATGTAATTGTGGCAAACTCTTCTGCTGGGCAGCAGACAAGCAGAACTGCTTGCTAGATGGCAGTTCCCCAGCCCTGCTCTGTGACCTTGTTTCTGCCGCGTGGAAGGCAGGAGCTTCCAGCTGATTACGGTGCAGTGTTCATCAATCACAGTAATAGTGCAATTAGCCACCAAGGTTCAAGCTGCAGAGTATGTTAGTAGTAACTTGTCCTGGTTTTCCTTTTGCTTAACAATCCAAATAAAGAATTAAAAATAAAAACAAAAACTCTTGACCTTAAAAGAGGCAAAAGTAGACCAGATGTGCAATATGGTGTTATAGCTTTTTACAGAACCTGTTTTAAATGTATATTTATCAGTAAATACAAAGTGATTTGTGACTTACTCTTGTCTCCTCAGTCTGTAGCATTAATTAACTTCTAGGACCATCAACGGGGTAGAATGGCCACAGACTTGTCAAATATTAGATCAGGAAGGGAGCTTAGAGAAAATCCTGTCCAGGCTCCTCATTTTACAAAGAGGAAGGTTGAGGTCCAGAGAGGAAACGGAAATTTCCTAGGGCCACTCTGAAAGTGTATTAGTGATGGAGTCAGGACTTCGTCTTGGATCGCCTCTATGTAGAAATTTATCATGTCTACAGAAATATATGTACTGTGGGCCTGGTGCTGTTAAACACTAGATAAATATATTTGAAAACAAGTGATCCCTGCCTGCGGGGTACCTATAGTCTAATGGAAGTGCTATTTCTAAAATATTATCCCAATTTGGCAGTCAAGGAAACATAGCCTTGGAAAAGCCAACATATTCAAGTCACTCAGTAATATCATTTAAATTCACTTCTGACTCATGCTCATTCCATTTCTTTATTCAGATTTCTCTCAGATGAAGGGTATATGGAGTGGTGGTAGTGACAGGCTCCAGTGTCCCAGCTGATATTGGTTAATTAATTCTGAGAGTCCTTGATCTCACAATTACTTTGTGACTGCAGCCTTGTAATGTCCAGAGAATGATAAGAATATCTGCCAGACTTGACTTTCCCTTTCACATTACCTGCTCCTGCTCCAAAGCTCTTTGTTTGGGTGTCAAGTTTCCTAGAGTGTCTTGAGGAATGTTTGTTTGAGTTTGTTTGCTGAGAGTTCGGGGTAAGGAGAAGGAACTACAGTAACCAGTGTCCTGGAATTTCATTGATTTCAGATTCTTCATCTTTACTAAGTTATTCCTGATGACCTGCCACAGTTGGAGGATCAGCCCATGCATGGGATTGCATGCAACAGAAGACAGGCCCGTGAGATACAAATACTGTTAAGTGATGTTTTTGAAGGCCTTCATCCCTTATATAAAGTAGGCAAAACTAAAATTTATGCATTCAGATTTATTCAATAAATAAATGTATGTGTCAAGATATAATCAGTGGCAAACTAAATACAAACCTTGCCTTCATGAAGCTTAGAGTCTAGTAGCTTGTGGTTTAGTCTAGACATTGTAAAATACCCAAATATAATTAAAGAGTGCTCTGAAGAAAAGGTACATCATTCTATGAGAATACAACTGGGAAAACTGAATCATTTGTGGAGTTGTTTCAGGAGGCCTAGAAAATCTCCACTGCCCCCCAAGTACCTCCGCTATCCACTGACCATTGCTTTATATTCTTCAAGCTTTCATCCTTTAGTTCAAACCTTTGGTGACTAGTCAAATACAAATCCTCCAGAAAGAGTAAGGGTGAGAGAAACAGTATTTGTACCTGTGAAATATGTTTAGACTGCCTGGTTCAGAGTTAATTATTGTCTTCTGAGGGACATAACAAAACATAGTGATTTGAAACAACAGACATTTGTTATTTCTCATGATTCTGGGGGTTGGTTGGCTGATTCTTCTTCTGGTCTAGAATGATGTCATTCACATGCCTGGAGTCCCAACTGAAATGACTAGAGTGGTTGAGGTGCCTCTCCATGTGTTTTCATCTTCCAGAAGGCTGCCCAGACTTGCTCACTTGGTGGTAGAAATTTTTCCAGCAGCAAGAGAGGGCAAGCTCCTGTGTAGAAGTACTTCTTCTTGAGCCTCTGTTTGTATTGTGTTTGGTAATATCCCATTGACTAATGCAAGTCA